AGAGGGGAAGGAACACTTCCCTTGTCCTGCTGGCCACACTCTTCTTGATGCACCCCAGGATCCCATTGGCTTTCTTGGCAGCCAGGGCACACTGCTGGCTCATGGTCAACCTGTCGTCCACCAGGACACCCAGGTCCCTCTCCGCAGAGCTGCTCTCCAGCAGGTCCACCCCAAGCCTGTACTGGTGCATGAGGTTGTTCCTCCCCCGGTGCAGGACCCTGCACTTGCCCTTGTTGAACCTCATCAGGTTCCTCTCTGCCCAGCTTTCCAGCCTATCCAGGTCACGCTGAATGGCAGCACAGCCTGCTGGTGTATCTACCACACCTCCCAGTTTGGTGTCGTCAGCAAACTTGCTGAGGGTACATTCTAACTCTTCATCCAGGTCGTTGATGAAGAAAAACTGTTCTTCTGTCATACATAAGCAGTGTTTAAATTATTTTCTTTTTCCTCCTGTTTCAATATTAAAGTCCTCCATCTGCCTTTCAGTCCAATTTTACAGAAGCATTTTGGAGCCAGCCTGCAAATTTCCAAGATTTTTTTTTTTTTTACTTACCTATAACAGAGGCAAAATATGATGATGTATGATATATGTAAGCAACAAGTTACATAAAAGAGGTAGTAGCAAGCAGCCAAACAACAAGAAAATAGCAAATTCTCTGCTAAGGTTGATAATAACGTTTCAAAGCATAGCTAAGAGCAAGAAACATCTCAATAAAGTACACTCAGCTAAAAAAGCAACTATAAGTTTTCCATTCAGTGCAATTTAAAATCTCTACTTCAATTCTTTTTTTTTTTTAATTATGAACATAATATTTATCTACAGTGTGTGGGTAATCAGGACTGATGTATACAACTATCAAAAAAATACACAGTCATAAAGAAAAAATACACAGCTTTCCTCCACTGAAGTACTGCATTTTCTAAGACTGCAGAATATACAATCCTGCTGTAAGTAACTGCTATCAGTTAATTTACAGCTTTTAAGCAATGAAGATAATGTTTGTAAAGTTCTCTAACCTCACTCACGAGCGTGCATTTTGGAACAAATCATCACTTGGTGTTAATCACTGTATTCAGAGAGACATCATTACAAGCTCTAAAGGTCTATTCTTGCTGGTTTTTTTCTCTATATTATTTCTACAGAGACTGAGGGATTTGTTGTTTTTACTGAAACTGTATGAAAAATCAGGAAAAAATTAAACCCTGCACTGTTTCAGAGCTGGTCTTCTTTACCAATCCTCCCACTCACAGCGATGTAGAACATTTATGGTAATGAAATTTCTTCTTGTGTAAAAACAGTAATATGGGACACTGCCAACAGAAAATATTTTATAGCAATTCTTAAAGTGATTTAACAGCTGGAAAGAAGGAGAAACAACTAATAACCTAGGACTAGCCTGATCCCAACAAACCACCAGGAAGCATTGCACAAACTACTGATTACTTCTAAACTAAAGTTTGGGGTACACAAGCTAAGGCTCTGTCTAGGACCTCCAGTTAATACTCTTCAGACCTGAGTAGAATGGTAGAAAATTAACCAAATAGTTTTGATCTTATTGTTACTTATTAGAAAGCTATTCTCTACACAGATTTCCATATGGAGACTACTAACTTAAATATCATCCTCCTGATTCCATATATATATATATATCTATCTCTATATATCTTTCTCAGGTTGGCCTCAAGGCCACCTTGACTTCTGTAAGCAGTAACAGCTTCCAAGGAATTGCTATTAAAAGTACAGTTTACTTCCAAATTTTTGGTTGTTTTCTTACAATGGATGGGGAGGCCGGAGGCAGGTAGTATATGGAATGCTAGACCAGCTTAACTTCAACTGGAGATCTCCCTTTACCAAGGGAATTCAATCTGGCTTTTTGTAGACAGCTCTCCACCTCTTTGCTGGCTGGCTAAGGCCAAGATCTCACCTTTCTCCTCTAGTAAGCATACATACATAACACAGCTTTTCCCTAAAACAGGGCACCTTTGTGCCAAGAGACTCATGGTTCAAAAATAATCTTGAAGACGTCTGTGATTTGCCTTTTCTTTTGCCTTCAGTTACATAAAAGTTAAGTCATTTTGCAGCTTAGTGATTGTCATCAGTGAGTAAAGTACAATCTCTACAAAACCTCACAGTTACTGGATTTTAAGGAGACAGTAAGAATCAAACCACTGGATATAGAAGTTTCAGGAATAGTGAAGCCTTTACAGAATTGTTTACTCAGTAAACAATCACAAACTTTAATTTATATCCATGAATAACCACAGGTTAAAGGAAGAAGTTAGTACTGCTATGATGTCAACATATAAGAAATAAAACACAGAAGAGAACAGGAGGTCAGAAAGGGAGTCAATTAAAATTTAACACTTAATGGCTTAAATGTTTGCCTCTTATTTTGATAAGTATAAAATATCTTGGTTGGTGTAGTCTAATCTCTACACAAACAGTAATTATTTCATTTTTGCAACATGTGATTCACAAACAATCCTCAAGTAACCACAAAAACAAAGCTACACTTACCCTTGTGTGGGTGCGAATATGCATCTTCAATCCATCATTCTTACTGAAAGCTTTGTCACAATAAGGACACTGGTAAGGACGCTCACCTGAAAATAAGAAAAGCATTAGAATCCATAAATATGGCCTCAGTGTATGAAGTTCTTGCAGCATGGTTATTTGTTAAACACAACTACTTCTGTTTCTGGCCTTTTCTTCACAGTTCAAAGCAGAGATCTAAGCATTAGGAAAATAACAAATAAAAGCCCACCTAAGCAGGATGCACAGCTAGATCAAAATACTACTCTCTGCTGCTTGGTTTTGTCATAACAAAATATCACAGTGAGTGCCTTGGAAAAAAAAAAGAAAAAAAGAACGAACAACAAAAAAACACCTACTGCCCTTGCCTAAACCACATTCTGCAGTGACTTACACATGGTCACTTTATGGTTAGACATTAACTGCTCCCCAATATTTCTTCCATTCCATAGCTGGTCATTTCTAGAGCCCTCTGGGTGTCAGAATCCCAAAGAAATATGAAACCTATTCTTTTTTAATGCCTTATTTGAACTAACTGTTAGAAGCTAGTTAATCAAAAGTTTCTGCAATTTTTGTGCCACAATTTGATTGAAATGGAAGCAGAAGGATCTTAGCATCTCCCTCGCAGAACCAATATCTTGAAAGGTATTTAGTTTAACACTCCATTAAACTGGTGTCATTTAGCATTGATTTTCCTAAACTCACATTAGCATAAAGTGGATACTGAGCTATTCAGAATCAAAGAGTGAAGAGTTTCTAAGCTAGCTCCGTAATTTGGAAGAAGTGATAAAGCTTTATAATTTCCCAAGAGCATTTTAATTTTAACTCCTTAGACAATGCACTGGAATCTGAATCAATTGCCTCCTCTTTCTGTACATAATACTTTAAAAGCAAATATTAGGTTGTTTCTAGAACAAAAACACACGGTTCAACAAATTAAAAAACAATAACTACTTTCCCATTAACAAAATGGACTTGTGTCTACACAATCATAATAATGAAGCTGTAACAAATCTGTATTTGAAAACACAAGTTAAGCAAAGCCTATCCTAAGCTAATGCACAGCTTTCCACTCATGAAAAAAAAAATCTTTGCTTGGAGTGAGAGATTTAAGATAGTCCAAATGTCAAACCCTTATTAACACTCATACTCAGTCCTGGAAAATAGGTAAGTGAGATTAACTACATTTTAGAGCTAAAAAGAGAAGACATCTTTTACTCATATGCCAAAGATCAGAGTGTAAGAGAGTGGCAGTAACAAAGATAAGCATTTAAAGCTCCACAGTCCCTAATAACAGGGATATTCATCTCGACTTGAAGAAAGCAAGCCTCATCCCTCTTCTCATCTTTTCTCTGCACGAGATGTCCCTCCATGATTGCTCAGAGGGAAGATATTTTCATTCTTGGGAACAAGGTGTCAAAGGATCACAAAAAGTATGTAATGGAGACAGTTTACAGAAACAGCTCTTCAGAAGGACCGACTGGGAATACAGCACAGCTGAGCAACTGATGGTCACTGTTGTATGTAAAATCTCCATATAGTCATAGATCGTGCAGAGATTTGAGGGCAGCTGAGATTAGATGATTACTTAAGGCGATAAAAAAAATCTTCTTTAGTAGATAGACCATTCTGTTATTTTCTTTTTTTTATTACTGTTCAGATAACTGTTAATGACAGCAGCAAAACACCTGTATAGCAAAGTACTTGTGGAATACAAATATTCTACTCTTGTATTCTGCCATCACTCAGAAAGCACAATTGTGTGAATTTGGCTTTATTTTTTTTAGGACGATGACAACAATTACTGTGTTATAGCTGTGTTTTCACTGAGCAGTTTGAAGTATGATATTTTCTCTTATCACCCTTGATGTCTTTCATACATGCCTCCGAAATTCAAACACTCCAACAGTTGTCAGTACTCAAATTTTTAATTAATTCAGCCAACATTTTTATCTTTTAGGGCTTTTGAAGGTAGAAGTTAAAGCTTTCAGCAGTTTGTAAGCAGATGAACATTGACAGGTAGGAGTTGTACCCCTCCTTCTGCTCTCCCCTCCATCCTCAAGTCTCTCTAAAGAGAAAGACTTTTGCGTTCAAAAGGACCGTTTTGAGTTTCTCTGAGATGGATTAACAGTGTCCTTCAGAAGTTAACCGTGGAGACCACGGTACTTGATGAGTAAGGTCTTAAGAGCTTTCAGCAGATGCCAGTAGATGGCAACAGTATGATTCCATATGAATGTTACACCTGAAAAAGACTGGCTTCATGCAGCTGTTATATACTGTAATTTTTAAAATATCTCCCCTGTTCCAAGGATCGATTTTACTATGTAACACAGACTACAAGCTCTGACTTGACACTGATGCTTGGTGACATCCTATTTTTCTAAATTATATAAACAACTTCTCACACACTTGTGTCATTAATAATTGTCAGTTAAACAACTTCAGATTACCCCAAGTAATTTTACTGTTGCTCTGATGTTTTTTTTATTTTCTTTCACCTGATCATTGCAGTCTGTATGCCCAAAAATGCATACAAGTGCCCTTGCGCTCACATAAGCGACTGTTTCCCCTGTGCATACACATCTTTTAAATGTGTAGCATCTTCTACCTCAAAGCATTTTAGGATTTTAAAAAATTAACTGTGGGCCACTTGAAACTAATTTGTGCTTGCAACAGCCAAGTTTCTCAGAATAAATTTCTTAGTGTCTCTGTAACCAGTCCAAAGACAAGTGTGTGCCACTGTGTAAGAAATATATGGGTATTTATATTTTTTTAATAAAAACAACTTGTACTTTAAAATTATTTGATCTGTGAACAAGAGTAAGATTCTTCTCATTTGACATCAGCCATGTGAAAATATAATGTCTAATTTTAACTAGTTGCTCTGAATCCCAGTGAAATTAAGGATAAAATAAAGTCAGGATGAATTGCTCTCTGGAAAGGGCCTAATTTTGTTGCCTGTCCAAGAACCGAATGAACCACCCCCAGTCAATGCATCTTTTTCTCTGTTTACTGTATCAGGAGCCTAACTAATTCATATTAGATGTCTGAACTCATGGACAGCAGATTTTGGCAAGATTATTACAATCCTACTTACTAACTTCTCTTATCTCTGGTAAAAATTAACTTCCCTCCTTGCTTCAGAACTAGACTAGGCAAACATTATGCATGCTACCAGTCAGTTGCTCATAAGAATGATAGCAATAACAGATTTGTCAACGAGACTACTGAGGAAGTGGGTGTTCCCCAAGAGAAGGCTTACACAGTCTATCCCACTAAGTCCTGGAAGATAAACAGGAGCAGTGGATCGTTTTGCTAGTATTGTGAGATGCAAATGGTACAAAATGACAGCAAAAGCAGATTTGAAATAATAAATTTAAATATACTCCTCCCACACATGAAGGTTTGCTGAAGCACAATGTTTCATACAGAACTGTTGCAAGTGTCCACAAATGAGAGGGTTTGTGCTTTGACAAAGTTTAGAATTGTCACTAAGAAAAACTGGGGAGAAAATGCAATGTGACAAAAGCTCCTGGGAAGGTGACATTATCCATCAGTGCTTTCACATTTATCTTCAATCAAGACCACCAAAAATCAATTACAAGCACTGGAATATTGAACCTCAGATCAATTCACGTACACTAAGTACTGGGCATTTTCCAGATGTAAAACTTCTCTGAGCAGAAAAGGAATGAATCCATTAGAAGGAGATTAAAAGTAAGAATTACTAAAGTGAATAAATGAAATTGTGTTTCAAGTCATGTATCGCTGCTTCTCTTGTCCTCGCAAAAAGGAGTTACTAAGCATCAAAATGAAAGAAAGCTATTTCCCCTGTGACAGACATTTTCTTCTTGGATTTACTGCTAGGCGCATGCGTATGAGATATGGTGTCAATGTATGATAATATCACACAAGGAGGGGGTGCACCTTAGGTAAAATTGTTGATGCCAGGTAACAATTACGTCATTTGAACTCTCCATTTTTATATAAATATATTTTATACAAAAATATATTTATAAAATACAGAAATATCTTTATGTTTGGAGGCAATGATAAATCATACTGAAGTTAATCAGTGCACTTTTTTTTACTACAATGCTTTTTCATTGCAGTCAGTAGAGTGAATTTTCAAAGGTGTTATTGCACAAAGTCAGGGTGGTTGTTTGGGTTTTTTTTAACCTGATTTATATAAAAAATAATGGGCATGGAAAAAAACCTTTTAGCTTCCAAATACACTACCAAGCCTTAATCCTAATACTTCTTCTTCAGAAAATAGCTGAAAAAATGCCTGACCTTCTGTTATTGTTAGCAACTCTGCCACTAAACCACAACTGAGACTATTACCTGCACTTTTCACTAGGCTTTCTACTTTAGTACAGTATCAAAATCCAGTAGGCATATCAAATACATCTTAATTTGGCAGCTTGTCCAGTAGTAATGTTGTGGATGCAACAATAACCAAGAACAACTGCTATCATTAAAATAGTAAAACATTCAAGACAGATGTAATAAATGCTACATTTACCCTCAAGTTATGGCTGACTGTCATGTCCCTGCTGTCCAAGAACCAACTGCTCAACACATTAATGGCACTTCTGTAGAAATAACCCCAAATAAATAATCCATGGATAAACCACAGTGGATTTAATATAATTCAAAGTCTAGACATTCTACTTCCAGATTTTGTATGAACAAAACCAAAGCTTTTAATATAATAAAAAAAAAATTTAACCCTAATACAAGGATTATGAAAAACAATTCCATGATTAAAAACCATATGGGATTTTGATCTGAAAACATATCATCGTAGAACTGATACCTTTTTTTACCTCAAGTGTGTACATCTCTAGCTTGAGATCACAATACCTAGTGACCTTAATGCAGCATAAAAAGTTAAACACCCAATTATTCCATTCCTGTTCAACTCAGGACAGACAGTTTCCGATAAGACATTTGCTATTAAAGGTGCTGTACTGCAGTACTTACAGCGAGTTTTAGCAGCCAGATTTCCCAAACTGGGGAAAAAACAATTAAGAAACAAAACCAAATACACACTAGTTCTCCAGGATTT